TGGGTTCCTCATGAACCTAGAATTGGGTTAGCAATGAACCTAGATCGTCTGGGTTCCTCATAAACCTAGATCATCTTCGGGTTCACAACAACCCTAGATTGTCTTTGGGTTTGCAATGAACCTAGATTGTTTGGGTTCCTCACAAACCTAGAGTGTCTAATCTCCTCATGAAACCAAATTGTCTCTGCAAAGGGGATGAAAAGGAGGGGAGAAGAGAAACAATGACAAAAAGTGAGGAACGATGGTTGGAAATAGTGGTGGTGGTGAGGAGATAGAAAAAGAAAGGGCATAGGAGAATGATGGCAAGAAGAATAAATTAAGGGTATTTTAGTAATTTTATATTTAAAGAATTGCAAAGAATTAAAAATCATAATTAAATCTAACTTGAAAATTTGGCATTATCCACCTAAACTAATTGTATGATTTGTCATTGGCATGTCATTACAAATAAGGAAAATGCCACGTGAACCGAGTTGACAATTCTAACTGATAAAGGGATCATAATTGTACAGTTTTTATAGTTGAAGGATCAAAAAGTGCAAAAAATAGTTGAATGACAAAATTGTGTAATACTATAAAATTGAGGAACCAAAATTAGCATTTAATCTTTAATTATACACACAAATCTAATTTCATATCAATTGAAATTTTGATGAAATTTTTCATCAAATCTTTATTTCTTTATATTAATGTTATCTTTGCATTTATAACTTTTATTGTTAATATTTATTTATGATATTAGAGGCCTTTCTTTCATTTAATAACCTTTGTTTTATAATTCAAAATCAAATTACAAAACAATAAACTCTTCTTTTTTACTCAAATTTGTTTTCCCTCTTGCGAAAGCCCATATTAAAAAAAGATTAAATCAAAACACAAAAGACCAAACTCATTAACATTGTTCACTCAATATTTTTTCACCTGCCTATATTTCACTTTTCATTAAACTTTTTTACAACTCCATCACTTAGCTTATCCTTACATATTTTATCATTATATTTATCCATTTATATGTCTACATATATTTATCTTCACTTTCTCTCCTTATTATAATCATTTTGTTTGCTATTGTTTTTTCTCCCATTTTTCTCTTCCACTATGTTATTCTCTTTTAATCACTTCTTGCACCTCTAGTAATAATTATATATCTTTTTCTTTCCAGTTTTCTCTCTCTCCCCTTATCCATATTTAGATAAGTTTTATGTCAAAACATAAAAAGTATAATCTGTTAACATCATTCTATTGGTATTTTTTAACTTATGTGCTATTACTTCAACTCTCATTAATTTTTCTTATGATATTATTTTTTAACTTATCCTTTTATATTTTTTTCATTATATTTATTACTCTAAATTATATCTGCCCTCACTTTTCCTTTTTATATTAATAATTTATTTATTAAGTAATATAACATTTTAATGATAAGTTAATGTAAAAAATAAAAATACATAATCATTTAATGTTATTAAAAGAAAAATGTGGAATTGAAATAATTAAATAATAAGTAATTATAGATGGGGATAAAAAAATGAATAATTAAATGGATAAATTTGTAAAAAGATTCTAATATACTAGTTATTTATACTATAACTATTATCTATTAGTCTCAAAATACTTACATAAAAATTTTATGAAACACTTAATTCATAATGATTTAAAAATGAATTAATTTATCAAAAGTCTATAATTATCATATAACAGTTTAGATAAAACTACTAAACTACTACTCCAAATCGCTGTACAATCTAACCTTCTAATCTTCAAGTATATGTTCAATGTGATCTCTTAAAGAAGAGTGCCAACGGTTAAAAACTTCTTCAAGGCCCTATATCTACCTCCATGTGTTTGGAAAATATGATAAATGATATTTTGTTTCCCTATATGGCTCAAGATATCTTTCAATTTAGGGATATTCACCGTCTACCAAATAACGTTTTTCTCCATAAATTTAAAAAATGTTAATATATCTTTATATTAAATTTATAAATCTTAGTAAACATTAAATCTTAGTACCAATATGCAAAGGTGGTTTAGAAAAATTTAATTCTTTCTCTAGCAGTATATTGAAAAATTTGTGGATCACTAATTAACTTTACCTTCCCACCCTACAAGTACAAATATGAATTGCAAATCAAAACTAGGTGTACCCAATACATTTGTGTTGGGGTTCTGCTAATAAACTTGTCTCGTCAGTGGCCTTAGGTTTTTCTACCGTGAGAAAAAGCATAGAAGTTTATAGGTGGGAGGAGAGAAGTCATGCTTAAACTTACATTTTTTACCCAATTATTTTATAAGTAAATTTGTTTTAATAATTAAAAATTTTTAATTCACTAACAACTGGGGCAAAATGTTACTTTTAGGTACTTTTTTAATATATTAGTAAATTAGACTTTAACCTCTAACTACTATTATCAAATACTAAATAACAAATTTTATTAAACAACCATAAAGGCATCGAATAGTCTGCTTTGATGTGTTTAAATTTTACAAAATCTTTTTTTCCTTTCCTCAATTAATATTGAAAATAATTTCAACCTGTTAAAAAACACCCATAAAGGTAGTAGTTTGTGGTAAAAAAATTATTAGTAAACATCATTATAAAGTAATTTGAATAAAACTACTATTTGTTAACCCAAAATGCCTCTATCAAGCATCCCTAAATTAAAAGAAATTTATCAACAGAACTAACAAGTTTTTCATGTTTTATATCAAATAATAAATTATATATTAAAAATAGCTTTTATCTTTCTAAATCTCTCTTTATTTATTTAAAATTTAAATTTAAAATCTTTAATATAAAAACATAAATTCTTAATTATTTGAACATGGACAAAACTAACAAAGTTTGTTTTTAATTGTAAGTTAACAAGGGTATGGATGGGGTAGAAATAAAGGAATTCAAATCTCGTCAAACACCTAACCCGTTGGTGGGAAAAAAAAAAAAAAAGGGAACGGTTTTGCTTTGATCCATTATTGGTTCCCTAATTTTCTGGCTAAAAAGATACTCTTCCCAGCGAATACCGCACTATAAAAGCAGAGGCTACCAGCGTGGCAGCGCCTCTCTGCCCTCTACACCTAATTGATATCAGAAGTGCAGGGTTCTCTGTTTTGTGTTCGACGAAATGTCTCTGCTTTGCGATCTCGTTAACTTGAACCTCTCAGATACAACCGAGAAAATTATTGCTGAATACATATGGTGAGTGTTCCCAGATCTACGTTTTTATTTTCCCAAGTTGGGTCTACGATCGCCTGCTTTCTTCTTTCTGGGTTGGAGTTTGAATGCCTCCCTTGCTTTATGGAAAAACTTGCTACACATACGTTTAATGAGTTTTGTGACATTTTCCTGGTGTTGGGAGTTCTGTATTGTCTTGTTTACTCTGTGTTTTGTTCAAAAGTTTGAATCTTGATGTGCATGTGATCGATCATGGAACAGGGTTGGTGGATCTGGCATGGACCTTAGAAGCAAAGCCAAGGTAAGCTATTTTCTGGGACTATTTCTTCATTTTTTTTCCTTGATCTTCTATTTCTCCAATTCATTCTCTTAACCTCATTGGTGGGTTTTCCAGACTCTCCCTGGGCCAGTAAGTGATCCTCAGAAACTGCCCAAATGGAATTATGACGGTTCAAGCACTGGCCAAGCTCCTGGGGAAGACAGTGAAGTTATCTTATAGTACTGTTCCTCGTTATCCTATTTCCTCTTTTTCAAGGCATTTGTTGCTTGATGAGTGGATTTACTTTTTGTTTTTCTTCTTTTTCTTTGTTCCTTAAAAAAGCCCCCAAGCAATATTCAAGGATCCATTCAGGAGAGGAAACAATATTCTGGTATGTCCCTTTCATATAATTGAGATTTTACTATTATCCAATAAACTAAATCCTTGAATAATTTATGCTAAGTATTCTTTTTTTAGTTCAATAATTAATTTTGTATCTGGGATCTGTAGGTGATGTGTGATGCATACACTCCTGCTGGAGAACCAATTCCAACAAATAAGAGATATAATGCAGCAAAAATATTTAGCCATCCTGATGTTCTTGCTGAAGAGCCCTGGTCTGTTCTAATTTTCAGACTCCCAAGCATATTCCATTCCCCTTTTCAGCAATTAATTTCATCTTTTGGCTAATTTACTAGATTATTATATATTTATTTGCCTTCAATTTAAACAACAGGTATGGTATTGAGCAAGAATACACTTTGCTGCAAAAGGATACCAAGTGGCCCCTTGGATGGCCGCTTGGTGGCTATCCTGGACCACAGGTAACAAAACTTTCCCTAAGTTTTAAGAGCTTCCCTTTTCTTGATGATTCAAGGTTTTTGATTTATAATTAAGTAGGTAGTTTGCAGTAGTTTAGAATAGACCATAGACTGATAACCATATACTATCTTGACATATGTAACTGGAAAATTTTCTCCTGTTGAGTAGGGACCATACTATTGTGGCGTGGGTGCTGATAAGGCCTTTGGGCGTGATATCGTGGACTCTCACTATAAAGCCTGTCTTCATGCTGGAATTAATATTAGTGGCATCAATGGCGAGGTGATGCCTGGACAGGTAAAACATCTGTACTTCTTGGATTTCTATAATTTTCCATTACTTATGCAAATATACTGCTGCTTGTTATGTTTGTATATATTTTACCTTGATTCTAAATGGATTCACCTCTTCCATAGTGGGAATTCCAAGTTGGCCCTGCTGTTGGTATCTCCGCTGGGGATGAGTTGTGGGTGGCTCGTTACCTTCTGGAGGTAATGTAAACTTATTATCAAAATTTGAAATTTTGATTGCGGATACATCTTGATTTGTGAACTGACTAGTTGGAGTTTTCTGCATCCACAGAGGATTACTGAGATTGCCGGGGTGGTTCTTTCCTTTGACCCTAAACCAATTCAGGTTAGATTTTCATCCTTGAGCTCCCTATTTATTGCTTCCTAGTTATGTGATCTCCTTATAATTCAACCTTGTGTACTTTGTTTGATGCTGTATGACTAGGGAGATTGGAATGGTGCAGGCGCTCATACAAACTACAGGTAATGCTAGTGATTGTGATTGTATTTCCTTCAGAAGTGTAATTGTTGTTGAGGTTAAATTAAAGAAGAACCTAAAACGATAATGTAATGGGTCCCCTTTTCTGATGACTATTATTCACCTAGCTTGTTATGATAATTTCAGCACGAAATCCATGAGAAACAATGGTGGTTATGAAGTAATCAAGAGGGCAATTGAAAAGCTTAAATTGAGGCACAGGGAACATATTGCTGCTTATGGTGAAGGCAATGAACGCCGTTTGACCGGACGGCATGAAACAGCTGACATCAACACCTTCTCATGGGTATTAATTTCTTTCTTTATGTGCATTTCTTTACCTTTTAGTACAATGCTTGCATCTCAGTATCTATCCCTTGATTGACAGGGAGTGGCCAACCGCGGTGCATCTGTTAGAGTTGGCAGGGAAACAGAGAGGGCTGGGAAAGGTTACTTCGAGGACAGGAGGCCTGCTTCCAACATGGATCCCTACGTGGTGACCTCCATGATTGCAGAGACCACCATCCTGTGGAAACCTTGATAGGGGCAATGGGATTGTGGGTTTAGCTCAGCTATTCTACTTCCTGGAAGCACCAATAACTTGTTCTGTTGCCATTGCTTTCCATCTGGGTTGTGTGTTATTTAGGTTAGATGATGATATATGCCGTGTTTGAATTGCAGTCCTCCCTACTACGGTAATTGGAATAATAATACCATTATATCGAAAAATGGGCACATTACTTCTGCAATTGATGTTTCTCTCTTCTTCGGTTCCTAGATCAGACTTCCCATGGATGGCAGGAAAAATTCTTCAGTTTAGCAAAGATACAACGATAGCAGCGTATTCAGTTTTCATTTGTCCAGTTATTGTCAATTTGCTACTAACCAAGTTGTTGGTCACCAAATTGGCTAATTAAATTATTGTTAAATTTACCAATTATTTATATACTACAGTTACTTTTTTAAATAAAAGAAAAGAAAATTTTAAGTAATTTAATAGTAATTTTTTATTTAATAATAATAATTTTTTAATAAAAATTAGTCAAATAAAAGTTACGTTAATATCTTTTCAGTAGAAATTAAAGCAGTAAGGTAGCTTAATGATTATTGCAAAAGTCAGTAAATCCATAAATTTGAATAAAGAAGTCATAAATTTGATGATTTTCTCAATTTGGTTGGTTGGTGGCAATAATAATTTTCTTCTTGACGTGATATATAAAAAATAGTTTTTTTTGAAAGACGTTATATTTGTTGCACCGAACGCTGACATGATCTTAGCGCAGCGGAATTATTTTTCAAAAATTTTAAAACATTGATTTGAAATTAAAAACCCATATTTAAACTTCATCTGTACTCAAAGATTTGTTCCGAATTAGGAGGCCCCAGAAACAAATTGACTTCAATTAAATTCTTTTGGATCGTTTTTGAAATTCAATTGTTCGATTTCAAGCCTCATGTATTATGTACTTGATTGAAGTGGTTGGAGTTTTGAACTTTATTATCATTGTGAACTTCACCGAAAAACAGTCTGATGGCTGCGCATTTCATTTGAAATGATGAAATGTTCACCTGATTTGAGAACCAATTGCTAACAACTAACTCATACTAATTTTTTAATTATTACCTTTGTCAAAAAAAAAAATTCTTTTAATTCTATCTGCTTGTATTTTTTATAAAATTTTTTTAATGTGTTATAAAAGTATAAATTAAAGATATAATTAATATATTTTTTAATTATTTTTTTTAAACAAATTCGCAAAGAACAAATTCGAACCGTTGTCTTAGGAATGAGAACATGCATTTATATGTGATCTGACATCACTGGATACGAAAGCCCAAGTGCATATATTTTTTTAATTATTAATTTACATAAAAATAAAAAATTAATATTAATTTTAATATCAATATTACATATTTTAATTTAATTGATTA